TGGTGAGCTGGTCTGCAAAGAGAGGTGAGTGAAAAGAGGACCTAGAGAGAACGGTGAAGTTTTATTGAAACTGTTAGTCAGAATTGTATAGTAGCATTGCAAGTATAAAAACAAAAATGGAAAAGTTTTCAAACCATATTATCGCAATAGATATAATTGAAGAAAAAATCAATAACAAAAGAAAACAGAGGACTTCACAACCTTGGCAATGAAATATGACTTTTGTGTTTCTAAGAGATTTTCAGAGCTGGAAATCAGTAGAGCCATGGCTTTGCATATGTAAAGCATGGGGCTTGATCCTGGCACCATACACCAAATAAAAGAGAGAAATTTTTAAAGGAAAAAATCATTACAGGCAATGAACCATAAAAAATGTTCAGTATCCATATTTGTAAATGCATTGGAAAGAAAAGGAAAAGGCATGAATAATCAAAGCTCCTACCTCAAGTACCTAGAAAACAAAATAACAAACTTAACAAAGCAGAAAGAATAAAAGAAAGATACAAAGAAACAGTTAAAACAAAAAGAATTAATAAAATTCAGGGCCTATTTCTTTTTAAAGACTGTAAAGTAATGATCTTTTGTTGGTTTTGAGCCATACCTGGAGGTGCTAAGCAATTACTCCTTGTGGGCTCAGGGAATCATTTGAGATGCTGCAGATTGAATCTGGGTCTGCTGTATGCAGGCAAGCACACTACCCACTGTACAGTATCACTGGCTCCAAAAGTTATGCAATTTTTTTTAAGACTGAGCAATAAAAGAAAAAAGAGAGAAGTTACCAATATCAAATGTGAAATGAAGACTTCATTGCAGACTCCCCAGATATTTAAATAATAAGTTTAATATAAATAATGGCCTATGGAACAAATTTCATAGGCACAGATGAATTGAATTAATTCCCCAAGAAATAAAAAAGCATCACGAATCACCCACAATTAAATAATTCTAGTAACTCTAGAATATTTAATAACAAAACAAATTTTTCACAATTGAGAGTTTATTAAAAGTGAAATCTCTAAACTAGATGCTCTAAGTGGAAAAATCTATAAAATGCTTCAAGATAAATTAACATTATTCTATATAACCTATTGAAAAATACAAAAGTGGGACCTCTCCTCAATTATTTTGTAAAACCAGTGTATCCTTAGAACCCAAGCCAAAATACACAGTGTAGAGGAGAAAAAGAGCATGAGAAATTGCAAAAATTACGCCTCTAATATATGGATGCCAAAGTAACAGTATTAGAAAAATATGACTCTGTAATATAGAAAAATAATTACACAATAGGATTCACTGGAGTTTGTCCTGGAATTTAAGACTTGCTTAATACTCAAAATTTCAACAATATACTAAACTTACTAACAGACAAAAGAAAAGACACATCAATCAGGGTTTTCAACATACTGAAAATATAATTAGATGTTTATCATTAAAAATCCTTAAATGGAGCCAGGAGATGACTTGATGGCTAAATTGTTTTACTCGTAGGCATGAGACGACGTGTTTACTCCTGGTGTCATTGCAAAAGCTAGTGTGTGATCCTGTCATCTTCACTTTTTGTGCTTCACAGCTCTGTTATCTGATTCCCAGTGTACACTTAAGTTCTGGCACATTGCAGCCAGGTATGTGAGTTCACAGCCACCCAGGGTACAACTCCCAGAGCACAGTGTCACAAAAAAGAAAATGTAAGCACTGGGGCCAGAGTTGTCACCAATGGTGAGGACACATGTGAACTTTGCAAATAAAGAAGTGTGACCTCCTGGGAGTGTCTGAACTCCACAAGCTGAGGTGGTATCCCTGGAAAACACCATAAGTAAAAAACCGCAAGCACCACAACAAAGCATTTGTGCAACACCCAATTATCACCCACCATAACATCAACAGGGAAGAGAAGGGCCAGAAATGACCAGAAATATTGGGAACCAAGGAAGAAATTTTTCACTTGATCAATTGATGTTTAAAATCTGTAGATGGCAGGGCTGGAGCAATAGCACAGAGGGTAGGGTGTTTGCCTTGCATGTAGCCAGCCTGAGTTCAATTCCCAGCATCACATATGGTCCCCGGAGCACCGCCAGAAGTAATATCTGAGTGCATGAACCAGGAGTAACCCCTGCGCATTGCCAGGTGTGACCCAGAAAACCAAAAAAAAAAAAAAAAAAAATTTGTAGATGGCATTCTGCTTTTTGGTGAGAAGTTGTATGCTTACCTCCTAAGACCGAGGACAAAACAGGGTTTACAGTGTAACCACTCTAATTATATTCCTATTAAATAGTAAGTAGGGGCTAAAGAAATAGTACAGCAGAGCGGGTGCCTGTCTTTCATGTAGCTGATCCATATTCAAGCCCCAGTACCCCAGATGATCTCCTGAGCACTGCCAAGTGTAGTCCCTGAGTGCAGGACGTGGAGTAAGCCCTGAGAATATTCCCCCAGGTGTGGCCTAACAAGAACAAAAATATAAAATGTAATCATGGATGTTCTAGCTATCTATGTCTATAGGACAGTAGAAGAAAATAAGAACCATATGGATTCTAAAGGAGGAAATAAATTCCAAGGTGAAAGAGATAATACAGTAGGTAGGACTCTTGCCTTGCATGTGACCAATCCAAATTTGATACCCCACAATCTATTTGGTATCCTGATCTCCACCAGGAGTGATCCCTGAGCAGAAGAAGCAATAAGCCCATGAGCACCACTGAGTGTGGCCCCCAAGTCAAAATAAATAAATAAATAATAAAGAAATAGAATTTTATATGCAAATATAATTTTTCGGTAGGAAGCAGAAAGGAGTCTACAAAAATATGCATCTAAAATAAGTAGATTTATAGAAGTGGATAGATATTGTACCCTTGAAAGGTTGAAAAAAATAACTTAATAAATTATTGGGGGGACTGGAGGGCTCCCTATTGGCACTTTGATTTCTTGGAGGTCACTCCCAGTGTTTCTTGACCAGCAGGGTCAGGTGGTCCCATTCTAGACTCCCTGATGTTACGCTGTTCTAGTTCAGTGGTCCAGGGGGACCCCAGGACCACCCACAAGGACTGAATGAACAAGGGACCTTGCACAGGCAATATTTTTGTGTCTCTTACCTCAGAGCTATAGTACCAGCTCAAAATGACCTTTTATTATGAAACAAATGCAAGTATGTTACCCAAAGTTTGAAATTAGAAAATAAAAAGGTCATCAAAACTTGGTAATACATCTTATTTGCTTTTATTGTGTTTTAGAATTATGCATAATTAACTTCTAACCACCAGGTTTTATTCCATATATTTTTTGAATAATGAGGCTCACATAATTTAATATCTGACCTTTACATTTTCAAAAATTATTCTTTAATGCAACTCTTAAATTCTTTGCTATAAAATGTAGTCTGTTGTCATTTCTTTTTGGCTTTTTGGGTCACACCCAGCGATTCACAGGGGTTACTCCTGGCTCATGCACTCGGGAATTACTCCCAGTGTTGCTTAGGGGACCATAAGAGATGCTGGAAAATGAACCCGGGTCGGCCGCATGCAAGGCAAACACCCTACCCACTGTGCTATAGCTCCAGCCCCCTGTTGTCATTTTAGGTATATATTTTGAATGTTTTGTTAACTAGGTAAATCGCTGTATATGTATGGCTAAAAACTATTTTCAAATAGAGGACTACAAAATGCAATAGTATTAAAAAATATAAGTTTTATTTAAGAAGCATAGTTTCAATTTTGGATTAATCCTAGTATTTAATAAAATTTTAAAATTTGAGATTAAATAACTTAAGTATTATTTTTCTCTTTAATATCCCTTGATTTCTTGAGGTATCTATGATTTATTTATTGTTTGTATATGATTTTTATTAAATGACTTAATTGATTGCTAGGGATTGAATCCAGAGACTTTCATGTGCTAACCATATACCCTATCACTAAACTACATTCCTGACCCAAAACATGACCTTTTCAAGAATTAATATTACAAATTTGGTGCGTCAGACATCTTGAAATCAAATAAGGCATTTTTGTGATATGTCAGATTAATTTAAAGCATTTTTCAAATATCTTTAAAATTCAAAGCAAATATTTATTACTTACATTGTGCAGTACTTTAATATTTGTTGGGTTATGAGAACAGAGAATTAGCTGGTGAATTTATGAGATATTTGTGGCAATTTCTAGTTGATAGATTATTGGTCTGTGAGAGTTATGTATGAAACCAAATTCCAGTAACATTCATTTATTTTGGGTGTTTGCCTTACAAGCGGCCAACATGGCCGACCCTAGTTCGATTCCTCTGTCCCTCTCGGATAGCCCGGCAAGCTACCGAGAGTATCTCACCCGCACGGCAGAGTCTGGCAAGCTACCTGCTATGTATTCGATATGCCAAACACAGTAACAACAAGTCTCATGACGGAGACGTTACTGGGCCCGCTCAAACAAATTGATGAACAACGGGAGGACTGTGACTGACTGTGACTACACAAACACTTTACAAAAATGCAACTTACTATCACTTAAAATTGGAAGATTTCACAAAAGTTCAGATATTTTATCTCACTGGATTATATGAAATGTTACAACTTGATTGATATCTCTCATTTTCACAAAGCCAGCGATTAACTGGAATTGAATAGCAGTTTCCTCAGTTAGAGCAATCTCAGGTTTTCCATAGACACCTGCCAGTCTGTCAAGTTTCCTTCCAGGTTCAGCAAACTTTCCTTACTAGGAAATAAGTGACAAATCAGTGAGAGAAAATTGCAGTTGGCAGGTCAGGAATAACAAATAGTATGTTAAAAGAGATGAGAAATTGGATAGCTTCAGTGGTTCTTTATTTAACTGTGATAACATTATTAAATGTTATGCATTAATAGGAGGTGAAATATTTTAGTATAGACTACTTTGTTTAGAATACCCCAGCCACTGCCCTTGTCAAATACCTCTTTAAATGTGAGTGTTTCTCTTGATTTCAAAGAACAGTCTGACATATTTATCTTTAAATGCAAATTTTCTTTGATTTTTGTGAAGGCCGAAGAGATAACTTTAACAATTGGTCAAGCATTTGACCTGGCATACAGGAAATTTCTAGAATCTGGAGGAAAAGATGTTGAAACAAGAAAACAGATTGCAGGCTTACAGAAAAGAGTGAGTAAACTTAGTTTGTTGTTCACATTCATGTGATGTAAGCACAGGAAAACTTGCATATCATCAAACAGATTTAGAAGACCTGCCATTAAATTTTCCCCACACTGATTGGAACTGCTTTCACTGTGTTCCTATAATATTGCGTTCCTGATCCCCTGCACAGTTTTTAACCATTTTATATTGAATTCCCACAAGAACTTATTGTTCTCATGTGACTTTGCTTCACTTCCTGATGCTTCTCATGGGGATCAGAGCAGCAGAAGCAGCAGATGCTGGGTAAGTGGTTTCCCATGCAGATCAGATTCCTTTGTAATTAAATTACACCCTTTCTCTACTCTTCAGAACCATCATAAGCAAGTTCCACTGTCTTGTGGTTGTACTACAAGATTATGGGTACAGATTGAAGAGTACAAGATGAAAATACATAGATACTAAGAACAAGAAATTTGTACATATACATACAACATTTTAAATAATATAGATATATTTTATCAATATAAAATTCTCTGTTAGCTTCCCAAATTTATCTTCATTTCCTCATACATAAGAGTACATTAAAATTTTAAATAACATGAACTCCTATTAATGAATATAGCAAATATAATAGCTAGTATTTTCCAAGAATAAATCTCTAAAGGCTATTCAATAATAATTTGATTTTTAGATTCAAGATTTAGAAACAGAAAATGTGGAACTCAAAAATAAAGTACAAGATTTAGAGAACCAGCTACGAATAACCCAAGTATCAACTTCTCCTGTAAGTATAACAGAATATGTGCATATTTTTCTTAGAAACAAGAATTCACAAAGCATCTTGGATCATCAGCTCTGCAGTGACTCAAGTAATCAAATAATATTCTGGGATCATATTTAAAATGTAACATAAATGAAGATGAAAGGCGCTAAAAAATAGTCTAATTTAAGAATAAAAATTATCTCAGTTGTTTAGACCAAGATTCTTTCTCCATAGCATTCTTTAGTTTGTGCTTTTCTTGAACTTGGCCTTTAGTTGATTGTTTTCTCTTTGTGGAATATTCTTTCTTTCATTTCTATGGACTATTATTTATCGAGGCTAGATTTATGGTCTCTTTCAATTTACCCCTGGAGTACTAAACTTCATTATAGAAACTAGACTGTCAGCACAACAAAATTTAGTTTCTTGTTATAATTATATACAATGTGTGTTCTCACTGTGGAGAGAGAAAAGGAGTGACAAAACTACATTTCATACTTAAAAATGACTGGTGGTGACAGCAGAGTACACTCATGTATTTATAGGTAAATTACTGGCTTTTACTTTGTCACTTTTCCAGTTTCTTGTATGATGCCATTTTTTTCATGATTTGGGCCGGAGTGATAGCACAGCTGGTAGGGCGTTTGCCTTGCACCCAGCCAACATGGCTAACCCAAGTTCGATTCCTCCTCCCCTCTCGGAGAGCCCGCAGCTACTGAGAGTATCTTGCCCTCACGGCAAAGCCTGGCAAGCTTTCCATGAGGTATTCAATATACCAAACATAGTAACAAGTCTCACAATGTTACTGGGCCCGCTGGAGCAAATTGATGCACAATGGGAGGACCGTGACCCGTGACCGTTTATTTTGCTTTGGAGCAGTGCTCAGGGCTTGCTTCTGACTCTGTGCTCAGGGATCACTCCTGGCTCTGCTTGGGAAATATTCCAGGAATATTCCAGGAATTGAAACAGAATGGGCCTTCTGCAACACAAGTACCACAACTCCTGTACTATCTTTCCAGCCCCATTTGAAATTTTTGAAGGATGCTGAAATTCCGAACATCACTTTTTTTCTGAAGTGTGTATTAAGAATTTTTTCTTTTTGAATCATCTGTATGAATGTTCCACATTAAAGTGTACATTTTATTTTGAAATATTTAATATATAGCTATAATGTGATGGCTGAGAACCGAAATACACGGAATTTGTAAATGTCTAAAAAGTGTGCTCTAGATTCTAATCTGCCAGTCAATTTGAGTTTAATAGACTAATGCAGCAAAACCCTATTTAATGAAAATATTTGCTATCTAGGACTGAAATGTAGTATAAAATGTAGAATAGTTTCATGAAGTTGCATTTAAGGTTTTAAGTATGGGTGTGCTCTAGCATTGGGTCAATAAATTTTGTTCTAAACCCTCTGTATTCCATCTTCTCACACTTAAACACTGGTATTCCCATTGTTTGGTATTTGGTTTGTAATAGTGGACTTGATACAGCAGAGATGAGAGAAGTTGGGCTTCATTTTCTATGCTCTGTTATACATGCTGAGAAGTTGGAAATATCTATTCATGCCTTATTATAACTCATCTTATTTTGTCTCCTTACTATCATAATTGAAGAGCTTTGTTATTATTTTTTAAATCATTTATCCCCTATTCCAATCAGCATGTGCATCAACACAGATTCCTTTTCAACCTTTCGTGCCAAATGGAATAAGATTCTTATGGATTCTATTGGAAGTCTAATTATAAGGCATTTTGTAAGACATACTATTAAGTAATGATAAATGAAGGGCAGGTTACATTTTCAAGCACTCAACTAAGATTATTAGTTGTTCCTGAAATTTACTGCAAATGGAAAGTAGCTTTTTTTATTCAATGGTAGTATTTACAAGTAAAATACAAGATTTGTTAGCATGTGGATACAAACCTAAATCTTGTTCATTGTGCATTTTCTTTATCAAAAGAGAGAGCTTCATGGAGTTACAAAGAGCAAAGATTTGAAAAATGTGCATTAAACAGCAATTTTTAAAGTACTGAAAATGGAAAGTCTGTTCAGCTTTGCACTTGTCAGAGATCAACTGTGGCTTTTAATTTCTTTTGAGATTTATTAATGGGTCTCTGAAGCAAGACTAGTAGAAGAACGTACATGGGATGCTGGAGTTGGTTTTTGGAGATGACTGCTGGTGCTTCTGGGAGTATAGGAAAGTGGAGGGAGGTAACCCATCCCAACCCTGAGAAAGCCTGGAGATTTCAGTCACAAAACCCACCTATCTGAATTTTCAGGAGATGATAGCTCAGACAGGTCCCTCCCAAGATGGTGGAGTACAGCTGGGGCCATGGTGGTGATTTTGTATTGTGGGAGCAACCAGCTGCCAGAGACTCTGCTTGGGCAGGCATCAGGCTGACCCACCCCCTCTGATTTACCCTAATCCAATCAGCCTTGCGTGGGTACAAGATTAACTGTGGCTTTTGATTTCTTATTTTTAAAAAAATTATTTTTAATGAATCACCGTGAGATACAGTTATAGACTTACAAAGTTTAGTGATTACGTTTCAGTCATATAATGACTGAGTACCTATCCCTCCTCCAGTGTCCATTCTCCACCATCAATGTCCCCAGTATTCCTTCCCACCACCCACACCACTTACCCTCTCACTCCCCCTCTGATCTCTTTTGAGATTTATTTATGAGTCTCTGAAGCAAGGCCGATAAATGCGCTTGTATAGCTGAGCTGGAGGTGCTTCAGGGGTGTACCTCACACATTCCTAACTTTTGGACTTTAAATTTCTCAGGAAACTTAGTCCCTAGTTGTTTGGGTCTGGTCAGAGGCCCAGTGGCAATTTTGGGATATCAGGAAGTCTGAAGGCACCATCAGGCTGCTGATACAGTCGCCCTGCAGGTACAAGGTTGACCTGTTACTGGCTCTGTACCTCCACATAATTTTATTTTTAAGTTTATTTATAGTATTGTGCAGTAAACTACCATAACATTAAATGTAGATACATTTATTTCAAATATGTTAAAATGGATTTCAGATATGTTAAAATTTACAGAAGTCCATTTGTGGTAGCAGGGATCTGTTTGGGGTTGACTGCTTCTAAATCGTGCACCTTAACCCCTATACCATCTTTCTAGCTCCATGTTGCAGTGAACTACATGATTTCATCTTCTCTTAGAGGTGCATAGTATTCCTTTGTGTATATGTACCACATTTCTTAATCTAGTCATTTGTGATCAAACTGTTGCATTATTTTAATATTCAGACTGTTATACTCAGTGCTGGAATGAATATAGACATGCATATTTCTTTTCATATTAATTTTTTGTGTATTGGATATGCCAAAGACAGTAACAAGTCTCACAATGGAGACGTTACTGGACCCACTTGAGCAAATCGATGTACCTTTTTTGAATGTGGCTATACATTTTTAAGTGGCTTTTCTAACACTAATCATAGATTAATGTTTTTCATAGATTAATTGACATTGAGGGATAACACATATAAGGGCTAATTTTGGAGGCTGTTAATTCTATTCCATTGGTCTGATGATCTTTCTTCTTTCCAGTGTCACTGTTTTGATTACTATAGCTTTGTAGTATAATTTAAAGCCATGGAAAGAAAACCTCCCATCTTATTTTTTCCCTTAGAATATCTTTGGACTCTGGTGAGGTTTTTGATTACATACATTTTTAGTAGAGTTCCTAAAAGATGTTATTGAAATTTTGAATGAAATTTCATTTAATCTGTACAGAGCTTTGGATAGAATAATCATACATATGTATGATATCAGTTATGTGATATTATAAAGTGTATGACTTCATTCTCATATTTGCCAGTTTTATACATTTAATCCAGTTGTAAACCTTTATAGAAGTTTAATTATTGGACTTTTAATGTGGTCATATGATACTCTAGAACCCTTTATTTCAGCAAAGTAGGAATTTTAGCTAGTAAGAAAATTGGTTGCTGATGTAGGGCCTTCTTTCCAGTTATTGACACTGAGCATCACAGGGATCAAGTCGTATCACACCCTCATGCCTTTTAACTGATCCACTGGTCTGGTTGAGCATCATCACAGGGGCTTCCAGGCCCCCTGAGTTGCAATTGGGAGCCCTCCCCATCCAAGACTTACAGATCATAGGAAAGAGAGAGGGATGGTTAATAAGCACAAGGTAATTACATATAATTAAAAAAATCAGATCTAAGATACACTGTGAATAAAAACAAGATAATGAGTAGGAACATTTTATGGAGAATCTAATTAAGAAAAATTTTACTGACAATTTGATATTTGAATTGAGTTCCAAATGACAAAGAAGTCAAATAAAAGGACTGAAAGAATGACAAGGTCTTTTTTAATTAGAACTTAATGACTAACAGCCACAAAGTTTAAAGAGGTCATGAGAGAGCGAGCTAATGTCTAGATTTTACAGAGCTTTGCAGGACATAATAAAGGTGTTTGACTTGTTTGTTAAATTGCCTTAAGAAAGGAGCCAGAGAAAACAGGAGTTAAGGCCTTGGACAGCACATACCTAGCTCTATCTTCAACACTGCAGTTTCCCCTGAGCATTACAGAGTGCAGCCTTGAAGTCCCCAAACACTGAGAGGTTTAAAATCCTATGCACAGTAGGGTCAGCAGCACCTTGGACCTAAATTCATTCATTTAGGTGAAATTCATTCACCTAAATGTTTACACAGATAATTGGTCCTCTGTCTACTATAGGTACCTTGAGCTGCAATGTGACCAAAGAGTTGTTCTAAAAATGGAGTAAACATCTATTTCAGTAATCTAGGAAAGGAAAAAATTAGATTTGTCTAGAATTTTACTAATTGAGATGGTCTTACAGAACTTGATACTGATTCCTTTCAGGAGTAAAATTTTCAACATTTGCTGAATTAGCAACTACTTGAAGAATAACAGTGTCAGGGATCGTCGATTTGCTCGAGCAGGCCCAGTAATGTCTCCATTGGAGACTTTGTTGTTACTGTGTCTGGCTTATCGAATACTCTCGGTAGCTTGCCG